ACGCAAAAACGACCAACCTTGCAACGTACGCGCGTTTACAGGGCGTCGGAGCGTTGTTGTTGTTGTTGTTTTGTTGTTGTTGTTGCTTTTGTTGTTGTTGTTGTTGGTGTTGTTGGTGTTGTTGTTGTTGTTGTTGGTGTTGTTGTTGTTGTTGCTGTTGCTGTTGCTGTTGCTGTTGTTGTTGTTGTAGGTTGTAGGTAGTGGTAGTAGGTAGTAGGTGGGAGGTGGTATGTGTTAGGTGGGAGGTAATAGGTAGAGGGTAGTAGGCGGTAAGTAGTAGATAGTAGTAGGTAGCAGGTTGTAAGTTGTAGGTTGAGGCGGTCATGAATCGAGGTGTTAAACTTCATTGACGGCTTTCAGGTCCCACTTCCTTCGCACCGCCTTGCAACGCAAACATCGTCATCCCAAACCCTGTAAACTCTATAGTCCATCTTCTCGGTGCTGCTGGGCCACCGATAAACCAAGGCCTGCCGACGGAGGCTGGAGCTGCGGGTTTCTCTAAGTTGGGGGCAGCCTTTCCAAGGTACCTCAATGCTTGGTGCGCCCTCTTAGCTGCTTGCGTGGCATGAGGATGCAAGGATGATTTGCCCAGCACAGTGCTTGAGGGACGTGGGTCAGTCAAACTTGAAGAACCATGCTACAAGCAACCATCAAAAGCAACACCAGAAGGTGCTTTCTTCTTTGCTTGCGACCTTTGCACGCAGGTGATGGTATCCACGCGACATACCAAACTATGCGACATGCGCGATGTTGGCTTCCACATCTCCGCTGCCTGTTGCCAAAAGGGCCGTAGTTCTTGCTGATCGTGTCATGGACAAAGCCTTGTGCCAACATGTCGGGGCATCAAAACGCGCAGCTGCGCTTGCACATGAATGTGATAGAACTCTGAAGGAAGCGTGGCGTTGTGCAATTTTCAACAGCCGACTGCAGGTCAAGCTTCTCCATGGCGCTTGCACGTTGAGTCCGTTAATCCACCTCAGGGATATCTTGTTTACTTTATAGATCACCACAGGCACCAAGGCGTTCTTGTCATCCAGCCATGAAATCATGGCACCTCTTGTCGAACGCGGCAGCCAGGTCTTTCACCTCAGAGGTGTCTGTTCCATCCCCTGCAAACGCAGCAGCTGTGTATGATCTTCGAAGCGGCAATGTAGCATGATTTGCATCTCTTGAAGTTATTAAGGGTAACAAGGACATTCGTAACTAACTTGTGACGGCTAGTCCCAAAACCATTCTGTGCCCCCAACAAACACCATGATGTGTGTGTGTGTGTGTGTGCGCGCTCTGCGTAGGCATCGTGGGTGTCCAGACAACCGAGTAGACTTTGGACATCGGCCGAAGTCTACATTCATCAGGTCGAGATGCCGGCGTGCGAGGTTTGTACTTCGCAATGGACGGGTCGTCCACAGCTGCCAGCATGTCCTGCCACTGACATCTGCGAGCAAAGCAAAAGTATTCGGACCCATATCCCGAACCCTACTCTCGAAACCGGCAAAGAGCTTGCTGTCTACAGGGCATCATGCCCACTCCACAATTCGAATCCTCCAGACTCGGGGCTGTTTTCGCTGCTTGTATCGTCCTCCGAAGCCTTTAGTATCTGGTCTAATCCGGGTCGAAGCTACCACCTTCACTCCCAAGTGGCTCATTTCAGGCAGGGAGGTTGCAAAGATTTCATGTCTAGGCGCAGGTGCCCCCCGGAGGCCCTAGGCACCAAACAATCTCAGTTTTGTTGCCCTACACTGCTCTTCTGGCTCGGCTGGACGTGGTCCTGGAATCCGAAGTAGCCTGGGCATTTCTTGCATTTGCCTTGGTTGCGATCTGTCTTGGAGTTAGCATCCAGGTTCGTGCTTGGGCTTGGTAGTGCAGGCCAGGCGCCATCGATGGAGTCCGTGCTTTGAAAGGACCATGTGGTTGTCAGGTTCACGCCTTGGTAAGCTTCCGTCTGATTCTGGTGGCCACGATAAGGGTGACCATGATCAAGATGATGATGACGATGATGGTCATCATGTGGGTGACTGCGCTGCGAGTAGCACTCAGTAAAGCATGAGGCTGCTTCTCGTTCTCGTGCAAGAGACAGACAGGGTTTCTCACCATCTGCAACTGCGCACAACAAGGTCAAGTTCAATAGTTTCCTGCGATGCACACTTTTCACCCCAAGCGTTTTCTGAACCCTTTAAACCCGAGCTCAGTATACCAGCGCCATGTTGCAGCACGATGTTCACTATTGCCTGCTAGCGCCCTATTTCCAGAAACCATACATAATTCCTAAGGACTCCCCAAAGCCACTTCGGTAGTTCTCTAAAATTAAATTAGGATCCTTGTTTCATAAGGGTTGCCGTACTGTTTTGGGGGACCCTATAATTTTGAGAACTACCCATATAGAACCCTTACAGTACCCTTATAGAAACCCTTATAGATCCCTTCAAGGAACCACTTAAACAAAAAGGGGACCCCTCACTCACTTAGAAAACTACCCTTTTTCAGAAACCCTTTGCGGAACCTCGAAAAAAAAGGGGGGGGACCCTAACCTAGCCAACTACCCACTTGCGCTCAAAGAGTCGGCCGGGTAGGATGCCAGCCTCGCGTTCGGCAGCCAGCAGGCCATCGAGACCGGAAAGCACGGCCTTCACGCGGCCTCACAAGGTTTAGGGTTTGGGGTCTCGGCTGCTGCCCTTGCTGCCCAGGATGCGTCTACCCTGCTTCAAGCTTTTGGAGGTTTGGGGAATATGGTTACGGTCTGGGGATTCAGGGCTTGGTTTCTTGAGCCACCAATGCCTCCAATTGTGAGACTGCTGCCTTGCTTCGGACACCTGGTCGCAGTTCAATGCCAGGTCTACGTTTCAAACTCTGCAAAAAAGTAGGGTCTGATTCGATAGCTTTATTGCAGGTGCACGGCAGATAGCACGCAGAAGGTTCAAGCACTGCAAGTGTGGCAGCACAAAGAACTGTAGGTTGGTGAAGTGCTTTTGGCGTTTTGGAGGTATGGCAGTGCAGGTTGGCTGTTAAAGCCCTGGTTTTCGTGATGAACAGACTTCACGAAGCGGGTCTCTACGTAAAGTTTTCTGCTGTCCGAATGGAGCACTACGTGCGATCAAGGCAGGGTATCTGGCAAGCTAGGGCCACGGGCTTGGGTGCTGCTCCATGTCAAGGCACACCAGGGGGCTTTTCCTGGACACTTTGGGTCGTTCTCGAAGAAGTCTGGCTCCTCAGCAGCTAAGAAACAGCACTTGCATCTTCTTCAGGTCTAAACCATGGTACCCGTCTTTCATGTTACTGTAGAAATGAAGTCTATGCTCCGCCTTGGCATTTTACATTTCAAGGCTCATGCTCACATGACCTTCGCTAGGACCTGTAAGTGTCCAGTACATGTAGGCTCTGACTACTAGACTCAACTTAGACGAATCCCAAAGGGCATGTTCGCAAGCAGTCGAAGCTATGTGGTACGTGAGCTTCTGGAAATAGGTAGGTGCCGCTGCATGGCCCCGTGAGCCCTCTTCTGGACTGCACAAATCGAGAAGTGTACAACCTGGAATCCGCCTTGGGCCGTGAAGACCATCAATAATTACATTGTGACATGACCTGTGTGCCATACATTTTGTCATCTTTTCGGAAGCCTGTCCGTAGGGGCTCTTGCTCTGAACCTGGGCTCTTGAGATCCTCTCCTGCCCAGACCGACACCCGGAGCACTACGAATGAGTTTTGTAGAGGCGTAGGTATACACAATTATACACACTTGAGTTCAAAGGCGCATGCATGCCCGCGAGAGAGAGAAAGGGAGAGAGAGAGAGAGGGCGAGAGAGAGAGAGGGAGAGAGAGAGAGAGAGAGACAGAGAGCGAGAGAGACAGAAGTTGCAACCTCTCGGCATCCCTGTCCCTGGATGCCCCTGGTACGCAGGTTCAGCGGCATTCATGATGATCACGGTCTGGACAGCCGGGTGCCAGTTCTTGCCTGAGTAGGCCAAGAGAGGGTGATCGTGCTCCAAAGCAGGGCTGTCGTCATGATGTTGCGAGTGAGTTCGCCATGGCCACCTTCAACTTTACATTTTGTATTATCTACTACGGATTATATGATATATGATATATGGGCGATATATGATATACATATATATATATATATCTATATATATATATACATATATATATATATATTATAGATCCTTCAATCATTACGCATTATACAGGCATGCTATATCTCATGTGCTTGCTTCTTGGATTCGCTCGGATGCAGCATCTTCCAAGGGTCAGCTCGGGTTCAAGCATGCTCAGAGCCGGAAATGCCTGAAACCCAGAACTCGTGGTCTGTTTGCTATAACAACATGATACACCGAAGCCAGTACAGAAACGGTTGCACGTTGCCATGGCCCATTTCGGTCAAAGACTTTCGCCCAAAAGCCCAAGCATTCTGGCAGTTGCTGCTGGTTTGTGTGAAGCGTCACCTAAGCGCACAGAAGAAGCTTGGGCTTGCAAGCAGGGAGCCCTTGGCAAATCCCAAGGAGAAGCCGGTTTTGACGACCTGAGCCGAAGCGCTCTCAACGTGCAGAGCCTGTGGCTGTCAGTTCAAACACCCAACACAGCACGGCCCTGTACTCGTTCGCTGCTGGACAAGACGCTTTCTTGACGGTCTCGTAGCAGTCGAACTCCGTGCAGTTGTATATGCCGAGGTCGGAGTCCTCATCTTTTGATATGGTCCTAGTTGGTTCCGTAGGCTCGCAGGCCAAAGCCTATCTCCATTAGCATCATTCGCATGTTCTTAATTTTCATAGAGCAGGTAACTGTTTCGTAGCTGCGTGACTTTACTGTGAGAAAGATACAGAGGTTGTCTTGTAGTGCTGCAGCACTGCTCAACTGCAGCTTCCTCTCTTGGTATACAAGTTTATTGTGACACTGTTCAACAGTTCGGTCTTACCTTGACAATAATCTGATATCCGTCTACAACTTGGGTGCTACCCGTATCTACTGAATCTGCTGCTCAATTCTGACCCCTGGCTCATAAACACGATCCGTTACTGTGCCAAAATATGGGCATCGTAGTTTAGCATTACAGCAACCTATTGTGGCACCGTTTCGTTCTTACCAAGTACCACACTGTTGGTTGGTGGTGTTATGATCGTACAGCTTTTTCACTGTCCTGTCCGCCCTTCCATCAACTCCTGCACTCCAGGTTGCTGTTCTTCTGGTTGCTGCGCTATCGCACTGCTACATGAATCATCCTGCCGAAATCGGTGTTAGCATGAAAGCATTTTATATCTATGAACCTAGCAGTAAACATCCGAAACAATGCCCACGCAGATTGTTGAGGAGGGAAGGGCAAGGCATCGGATGTTGTCTGTGCCTACTGAAGGCAAGAGGAATGAGTAAGCCATTGAACAGGTTTGGAGGGTGCCATGTGAAGGCCCAGCTCACGGAACAAAGCAAATTCAAGCCGGTATGTCTTGTTGCATATTATCCAAGCTGCAATGCCAGGCAGGGCATTCAGACCTGAGGAGGGAGCAGATGTACCAGAAGATGTCAACAAGTTTCCGGGTGACTGCATCCGAAGTCAACCCCTGCTAGCTATGGGGACCACATAGAGGGGGGCGAGTGACTGCGTTCTCGGATAAATTTTTCAGGGTCCCCCATGCTAACCAAAAAAGGCCGCGGCTATTTTAAATAGCCCTCGATGCACGTAACCCCTGCTCCCCCGGTCATCCCCCTAGTCCTAGGGGCACCAGGCACTGAGGAGAGCGCCCTGCTTCAAGGCCTCGTCGAGGAAGCCGCCTGCCAGCGGGCGCAATATGTGAGGTTCGTCCAGTCGCTTGTCTGTTGTAGCCAGTCAAACGTTTTGAGCAGTCTAGCTGTCACCCAAGGTTGATGCAAACATCCTCCAGCGAAACAAACTCACCGAAGCCCAGTAATAACAGGTTTCAAGATGCCATACAGGGTAGTATACTGTATAACCCGTCCAAACAATTTCCTCTTTGTTATACCGCACTTCTGATACTTTTGACCATATGTACTCTCTAGTATACAACTGTGTGATATAATGATTATTACTATTACTATTCTTATTGTCGCTGATATATATATATACACACACATATATATATATATATACATACACACAACAGCCATTCCGGAGTCAGCTTCGGCCGATCCGCATCTCGCAGACCTTCTCTGAATGTAGAGACCTTGTTAGAATAGGGTTTTGGGGTATATGGTACTATACTTACAGTAAGGAACTCCCCAAAAATAGTATTGGTAATCATTTAGGCTCCCATAGTAGGAAGCTGGGATCCGAGCTGTGGTCGGTGGCAGGGCCCTTCCCCATGGAATGGTACAGGCGGACGGCGTTGGCACCTGAAGAGAGGTTCCGCGAGACCAACGGGCAACAAGGAACAGGGTACCATAGGGGGCTTAGTACTTCGGATTGGGGCGTTGAACTGATGTGGGGGCCTTAACGATTAGAATAAGGATTTTCTGGGTACATTACAATTATAATAAAACTAGCACGGGGAGCCCTAAACATGCTGTCGCACACTATTGCCAATTATTCAATCCCTTTTATGACATCCGCTTCTTGAGGAGAGGCGAAGATCAGCATAATATCAGAGTGCGCAACTTAAGACCACGAAACTCTTGGCTTCCTTGATAGAGCTTCGGGCTTGGCCGTGGGTGATAAGCTAGTGAGCTAGTGCCGGATTTGATGTTCAGGGTTTTTTTTCCCTCTCGCATGGCTGAGGACTTTAGGGTTTAGGGGTTCTTCGGGCTGTGCTTTGAGCACAAGGCGGACAGGGAGTCGTTGTTGCCCGAGGCTGGGAGAGCGCCGCATGTAGAGAAACGTCAAGGGCCACTTATGACACGGCCTGGAGTCCATCGTTTCGATGGGAGGGAGTGGGAGAGACAGATCAATAGGGAGAAAGAGTAAAGACAGGGTAAGAACAAAAAGGACGGAGGCTTCAGTGAGACTTTCCATAGAGAAGACTAGTGCGAGTTGAGCTCAGGCCGAAGCATCAAATCTCGCATGCTCTGCAGTGCGACCCACTGCACTTTGCACACTCAGTCTGAAACCCACTCCCGGTTGGATGCCTGCAAAGCTCGCGACTCTCCCAAGGGCCCGGGCCAAGCTGCTTGATGATGCCCAGGTCGTTTCGACCACTGGCGCCCCACTGCGCCTTGTAGCCCTGCCTGAGAATTTCCAGAAAGGAAACATTCTAAGGAAACGCCGCATTTTTGCCCCAATATAACGGCCCGGTACCAGGATGAGCCACCGGGAGTCTCGAGGCTCCCGAAATGAGACATGCAGGTGATCAGCCGATTCTGGAGTTTGGGGCTTTGGGTACAGCTCCATAGGGAATAAGACACATGTTGAATGTATGTGCAGGCTGGGGGAGCTCCGGTAAAAGCAAAATTAAGGGTTCTTGAACCAGGCCCTTTTGCCACCACAAACTCAGTGCAGGATCAGCGGCTGCATCATGTCTTCGCTCGGAAGCTGTTTCTTGCAAGCGTCATCCGCAGTGCAAGGCAACCTCGGCCCAGTGAGAACAGCGGGCTGTTTGAGATCCTTTTGTGATGGTAATATTTGGACAGCCGCATTAATGGCGATGGTCATGATCTTGGCAATCATACTCAGCTCATATAATCGTAGGGATACAAGTAATATGAACAATACCCCATGCCGAACAATGGCAAAACACTCGTTGCAGTCCTGGCCCTACAAAACCATCCATTCCAGAAGCATGCCTGCGATAGAGCCCGCTAGAACGCTTGCGATCTCGAGCAACATAGTCACGGGACTGTAGTGGCACGGAAGCGCCACACCAATAAGTACGGTCTTTCCGCGAGACCCATGCATGGATTTCATGCTCCAGCGATGTCATGGTAGATTGGGTCCACGAAGCTCGACTCTAGTCCAACATGTGCACCACGTCAGCAATACCAGTAGTCAGTGTACTAAACAGGGAAAAATCCTAAAATGATAGGAAGACACTCCTAAAACGATAGGAAAAATCCCAAAATTATAGGAAAAATCCTGAAATATCATCGTAAAACCCGTCCCCGTGTGCCCGTGGGGACTCATCCAGAAACCGAAGCCGAGGGTCCCCCCCCCCCCTTATCGACTCCAGGAGGCGCTGCGTAAGCGATCCCACCTCAGAGTCTTTCAGCAAATTACCCATACCCTACGGGTGTTTAGCCCCGGTTAGGGTTTAGGTGTTTGGGGGTGTTTAGGATTTAGGGGTTTAGGGGTTCGGGCTTCAGGGTTTCCCTAACACTCCAAATAGCCCAAAGTAGGTACTGTTTGTACACTTGGAGTCTTAGGGATAGGCCCCTGAGTAGTTCCTTTTTGGGATTACCTTATTCGAAATATAAACCACAAAATTAAAAGGAACTACTTAGGGGCCTATGGGTAAGCAAAAGGCCGAAGCATGGGGTCTAAACCCTAGGGCTTTTTGTGCGTCTTGTTCCCCTCTCGCATGGCGGAGGACCTATGCCCACAAGAGGGGTTTAGGGTGTTAGGGTTTCGACTCTCACACTCGCAAGCGCAGGCAAGGCTCCTCATGGTTCGATCTCCGCTAATATAACTGCCGAAGCCGACTCTCACCCCGAACAAACCACGGCAGCTAATGCCAGAGTAACAGAGACAAAAAATAACTAAGCACCAAAAACACGTGATGAGTCAGCTAAGAGCAGTTGTTGGCTACACAACACGGGAAACATTGCTCCCTGCTGCGGTCTGTTTCAAAAGTTACTCGCATCCCTCAGTTAGCCAGAACATTGTGCCACAGTGAGAATTCTGGGGTTAGGGATTAGGGGTTTCGATGGCATGTCCGAGTTGTGAAACCCTAAAACCTTTTTTGTATCCGGGCGCGGGGTGTCGGCCGAGAAAGTTGCACCTAAACCCTAAATCCTAAACCCCAACTCAATGAGCTGCCCAGACGCGCAAAGGCCAAGAAACCAAAGGCGGAGGTGAGGGAGCTGGACCCGGCGAGACCCCTGCCGAATTGTGAGCTGAAACCCCAGCCATAATTTGGCAGTAGGATCCTTGTTATAAGGATCTCCCCATATGGTGCACCATGAGTTTTCCAACTCCCGCTTGTGGATTTGGCTTTGGCGCTCCAAGACCAAATTCGTGAATTTTCCGAACTATGCAGGTTTGCATTTTGGAGACAAAACAAAAACAAAAACGTCACAAAACCGGTCCAGTTTAAGGCGGGATTTAGGGTTAAGGCTTGCCCAAGAACTTCTGCTTCGCTTCTCTGTGCTGATGAGGGCTCCGGTCTCTTTGCTCTGGCCAAGGACAGGCTGGTCATAATGAGCCTACATCGCAAGCACTTGTCAAGCCACAACCATATCTCTAGAATCTAGAGATATAAGACGAACAGACCGACCAACAGACAGATACACAGAAAGATAGAACGAACAAAATAAATAGAATAAGGACCGAAGATAAATGAAGCAAGCTACAGTAGATAGATAGACAGTTGGACACATAGATGGATAGATAGACAGACAGATGCATAGATACATAGAAATCCAAGTATACACTGAATGCAATTAGGTGCTTGTAGAAACTCGGCATGAGCCTTCAAGAACTACTTCCAAAGTCCAGGTCTTCAGCCCTGACACTTGCTGTTTCGGGGTCCGGAGGCTGCTGATCCGTCCGTGGGGGATTTCAGGTTAGTCGTTTCTTTCTTGGTGCTGGAGGGATTGCTGTTCATGTAATGATATAGTTACAATAGATATATACTAAATAGCAAAAACAACTGTTACTGTTGTGAGAAGCTGTAGCCAGCACAGCCTGTTGAGACTCCAAGCCTGTCTCTGCAGCACTGCAGCACAACCATCCCGAGCCGAAAGTATGGGATGCCTCCGTGGTGCGAGCCGGCCGCAACGGCCACGATCACGATCACAGCCGCCAGTACCAAGATTCCAAGGATGCTGCCAATCAAGCACCTGCAGAATGGCATGTTGAACAAATGTCCATCAGGATCATCACGAAGACTAAAGCTTGTGCAAAGTAACCTGCCGACCTTTCGGTCTATACCCTGTTCTTTTTTGATCCGATGCAGCAGTGCGATGTTGCGTGGTTCAGCGGACCAGGTCTGTCCAGGTCTGTGTTCGTCTCCAAGCAAGACGTCACGACCCGCATCACGCTGGTCGCAACATGATTGGCAGCACAGGAGCCCCTTCCCAACAAACGCTTGGGCTGACTCAGGTCAGCCGCCCAGAGATCTAGCAAGGCCTACATGCATGTACTTGGTTATAGTGCTCGACGAAAGGTCTCCACTAAAGTGTGGACTTTGTGCCCTGTGCCGCTGCCTCTACATTCTATACACATATGGATATGGAAAGCGAGGTGCGGACGCACCGTCACTCAACATGCGGTAATGAAGGATTGGAGGGTCATGCGAAACCTGTTAGCTGCGAGATGCCCGCATTATTGTACTTGAGAACAGCCGAGGCCTAAATGGAAAAACAAATTGCATGGGCGACTATATGTTGCCTGCACTGCGGCTGTCTCAAGATGATTTGCAGGCATGCCTCGCGAATGGGCATGGGTCAGCCCCATCTGGAGGAGGTTGCAACAAGGATCTCGATATCTGTCTCTTGCTGCTGCGGCATAGCCTATGCATAAATCTCTGCCTCAGCCTAAACCGAAACCCATCGATTCACCTACCTCCATTGCAGCACCACAGCTCCGACCACTTAAACGAAGTATTGGCTGCACTGAAGTGCAGACCGACTGGCCCCGGCTCTGCTGGCCTGAGGGACCCTGGCAAAGGATCGGTAGAGACCAAAATGCAAGAAGATCATGATCATGCCATTACTGCGTGCGGCTGGTCCTGCTGATATTGTCACTCTCTGCTGCTGCTGGTCTTCCCGCTCCTACTGCTGCTGATAGTACTACTGATAATACCATGCCAACAGTAACAACCATTGTCATAGACGGGTGTACCATACAGAACCCCTAGCTAAACTTCGCATCCGGCGCTAAACACACATTCTACTACAATCAGAAACAGGCCCGGGGCAGTCGGCTAAATGGATAAGCGCTCTTTGCAGTGCTCCTTTCGCTGGATGGCCTGCAGCAACATCTCCTGAGCACGGACAAGCAAATGGGGAATCGGAGAGCGTGGTTTTAGGGTTCCATCTGCTCTATTTGCCTTGACTTGCGCGCATAAACGGGTTATCTGCATGATCGTTTGTTGATCAACTGTGCTTTACCAGCGCTTAAGAGAATTGAAGGGGCTTGGGTGTCTGGGTGGACAGAGTCTGACATGCAAGGGGCCCTGTACTTCACCACATATATGTATGTGTGTATGTGTGTATGTATGTATACACATGCATATACATAGAGAGAGACAGACAGAGAGAGAGAGATACATATACATATATATATATATACACGATATATATATATATATATACTACATATATTCGGTGTATATACACACGTATTACAGACATAGTACATACTCACATACATACATACATACATACATACATACATACATACATGCATGCATGCATGCATGCATGCACTTCTGCATACATGCGTTCATGCATAAGCAAACACATACTTACAGTCATCATATCTCACATACCGTACATATCATACATCTCCTGCATATCTTACATCGCAGACATGTCATGCAATATCTTCGGGCGCAGACACACCACGTGTCGTACCTGCCATCCATCCATACCCAAACATCCACCCTTGCATGCATGCGTGCACGCATGCTTACATGCATACAAGCATATGTGCTTGCACATGCACATACATATACAAACGTACATACATACATGCATACATCCATACATACATAACGTGCATCCACACATACATGCCTACCAACTAACATACATACAGATATACGACATACAAAACGACAAACGAAACATACATCAGTGCATTCATGCGTGCGTACATTCGTACATACATTTTTTAGCACTCGCACTCGACCAGGTCAGGCGAGGTTTGGGGAAGCATACTAGACAGCGAAGGCTCCTTTCGAGCCAAGCACTCCAGTGGCGGCGAGCTTCCAACTCAGAAGCCCAAAATTCCACAACGCAAGTCTCGATATTCTACACGTTCATAAAGGCCGGACATTCGTACATACATACATACATACATACATACATACATACATACATACACACGTACACGCCATCTTTACCCTCCATCAATCCATCCATACATCCATCCGTACATCCATCCGTACATGCGAGCATGCATGCATGCACACATCATACAGACAGACAGACAGACAGACAGACAGACAGACAGACAAACAGACAAAGGTATGTACATACATGCATGTGTATGTGCATGCCCACATACATAAACACAGCGTGCATCTCAATACTTCGCGTTAAGTTATGTTGTGCTACTAGCTCGGTTCTGCTATGCCATATCATGCTACGTAGCCTTACCTTATTAAAAAAAACGTTAACATTGTCGCACATTGCAATACATTGCATTACCCTTGCTGTCTGCATGTTTGTGTGCAGGTGTATATGACAACTATATATACATATAAGAACATATACTACGTCTGTATGTGTATATATATATAATACACACACACATATATATATATATATATTTACATATAGTATGTGTATATGAGGGTGCAGATGTGTCCTTTACCTCAGCGACATGTGTTCAAACATGGTTAATAGAAATGGATAAGCGAATGCAACCTTGTGCTGCTGGTGCGACTACTACCAGCGTCTACTCCTGCGGCTAACTATAAAAGGCATAACTATAGCCGTATGCTACTGACACAACAACATACCAACCACCTCGCTTAAACACGTTGGGCAAACAGGGAAGAGTATGGAGGAAAGCCACCTATTAAGCGCGAACACAGGGGGCTGTATGCAGGAAAACGGACCCTCTAAATCACAGACATGGTAGAATACGCAAGAAACAATCATCATCAACATCATCGCGAAGCGCGTGCACGTCTTCTGGGTCATGGCTGACTCGCATACTCTACGCGCAAACTAGAATGGCGGCAGAATATCTGCTTGGGGCTGCCATGTCTGTCATTGTCCCCCTCCCCCCCACCGACTACGCCCCGACCACGCCCAAGCAAGAAGAGTGCTAAGGAGAGGTGGTTGGTACAGGAGGGCGCCTATCACTACGACAACCACAACAACAACTATTACTAATACGACGACTACTACTACTCCTGCTGCTACTGCACTACTTCTCCTACTTCTCCTACTACTACTACTACTGCTACTACTACTCCTGCTACTAATACTACTACTACTACTACTACTACTGCGACTGCGACTGCGACTGCGACTGCGACCACGTCTACGACTACCACTACAACTAACGCTTCTGCTACTACTGCTCATGCTACTGCCACGGCTACTATTTCGGTTACGACGCCCTGATAATCGCACTAACGATGGCAGTAATACCAACTCTGTTTTTTCTGAGCATTACGCATGCATACCAGCACCAACTCATGATTCTGCACATAATCAGTACTGCTAAGTGCATAGTCTCTGGCCGCCACAAATCCAGCGTGCCTCCGACAACCACAGCTGCATCCTAAACCCTCTGGCCTGCTCGTCGTCGTCGACCATTAGCCGCCACTTCAAGAGCCTTCGGAAGATGGCTTGAAACGAAGGGTTCTCTTTCGGTTCAACATTGAGATACGTGCTCTCGAAAGCTTGTCAGGGCTTTCCAGGAACCCTAGGTTTCGCTTCACAACAAGATACTAATGCAGCCCCGCACTGAGAAAAATCCAGCTGAAGCTGAAGGACACCAATGTGCCACAGTCGTGAGTATTCGCTGTATATTGACACTTGTGAATCCAAGTGGCTCCAGGAGATGGAACAGAGCTGAATCCATCTTCTTCAGCGAGCAGTACTTCTTAAAGACATACTTGTGCCACTCTCCTGGCCGGTGCGTTAGTGTGCTGTGAGTTCCAAGGTGTTCCAAGAGTCCAGACATTTCATCTTCTTCTTTTTCACGACTGCCGATGGCAAAGCGAAAACCTCATAACTTACCGTCTTTATTTATCTATCCTCGACCCCGCAAACCGTTTCGTGAACGAGATCTCTGTTGCCCGCCTTGCAAATACCCCAATCCCTTCATTCCAAGTCCTAAGCCACCAACCCCGAGGCGGCCCAGCGGCCAATCGGACAGGTCTCGTCCAAGACAAAGCCTTCCAAGAGCAAGATATAAGTACATAAATAGATAAATAAATAAAACTCTATATACATATATATATATATATGTATATATATATATGTATGTATGTATGTATGCATGTATGTACATACACATCTCTAATGTGTATATATATACTTACATATATAGAGAGAGATATGTTACATGCTTGTAATTATATTATATATATATATACATACACACACATAAGTGTGTATCGACATGGGGTTTAGAGTTTTCCTTCCCGGGTTTAGGGTTCGGGGTTTAGTCGGGTTGAGGGTTTGGGGCTTAGGGAAGTACAGCGCGCGGGTAAACTGCACGCGCGGGTAAACTGCAGGTGACTTCCACCCAAAGCTCGTCTCAGTCCACGGCTGTGAGCCATGTAGATCAGCAGGACAACTATGTGAACAGCCTCACAGAAATCTGACGAGACTGCTAGTCAAGGCTGCAGTCGTTGTGTGGCGAAACGTCCTTGCAAGTACTGCAAGAACGATGGCATGCAGGGCATGTGCTCAAACAGGGCCTTCTTTGCCGCCCAGACCCTAGCCCTAAGTGCTCGTGGAGCCTCCAGACTGCCGACGCGATGGATCAATGAAGGCAGGACCCGTCGAAAGTACGCGCAAGCATAGGCCAGGGTGACCTCCTTGGCATGAATCGGGATTCTTAGGGGCTGAGGGTTCTATGGCCAGATCGGGATAGAGCGTATAGAGCTTTGAAGGCTTACCGGAACTCCAAAACGAAAAAGCATGGCCAACATCCACAGCTTCTACATGATACACCTACGTGGTCCACATGCAGCACTGGAGAACGACGCTGCACGTAGGCCGATCACAGCCGAACATCTAATCATCTATTCCTGCCCTGTGCATTCACTATGCATGAGTGTAACATTGACATGGGCATAATCTGGGGACCGGGCAATGTCATGTCCGCAGAAAGAGCAAGCTCTTAGAAGTCGAATACTCTGGCAAACCTGCACGGATCGAACATGCACGAGATTGCCAGATGCTTCAGGCAATTGCCTAAAAGTCCGAAAGCCCAAGCCAACAACAGCAAAGCACCACAATTCGCTCTGCAAGTGCAGAACCAAGACAGGTTGGGTTTGGAACTGTCCGCCTTTCTCTGGAGCAAGGCGGAGTCGATCTCAGGGCTGGTTTCCTCACGCATTCTTGCACATGTAGTAGTAACAGTAACAGTAACAGTAACAGTAACAGTCGCAGTAACAGTAACAGTAACAGTAACAGTAACAGTAATAGCAATAGCAATAGCAATAGCAATAATAATATATGATAATAATAATATATAATAACAATAGTAATAGTAATAAGTATGCCAGCAAGAACTACGATGATGACCAGACCAACCACCACAGCAACGAAGACTCCTGCAAACACGCCACAAACACAACCACAACTGCAACGATAACGTGCAACGACATACAACGACGACGACCACAACGGGAAGTAACAATGAAAAAAATACCGTTACCAGGTAATTCGTGATGATAGTCAGAATGCCACTCCTAAACCTCCTCCTCCTCCTCCTCCTCGCGATCCTATTCTTGCTACTACTACCACCGCTGACCGAATGAACTGCCACCACGGCCACGACCATGTCACTACAACTACGAATCACTAACACTGCCACTGCCACCGCCTCCGCCACGGCGAATCCAAGGGAAAATCTACTACTGCTGCTACTGCAACGACGGCTAATACTACTACAGTAGGAAGACTGTGGCAGCTGCACCTTCGTGAACCTTACAGTCCTGACAAAGACTTACAGTTAATGCAGTTAATGCTGCTTTGACACTTTCTGGTCCTCGCAGCCCGACTCCCTTCTACCTGCTCTCAAATTCCTATAACAAACGAAAGAAAATTTCAGCTGAAACTCAAAAGCTTTCGGGACTTTCGGGCAACAGGCTTGGTTCGTGTCCGGTCAGGATGTTGGTGCTGCAGGTCGCTCGGACCCCAGTCCCCAAACCAAACGTTGACTCCTGCAAGCATGAAATGGCAACAACACAGTGTCCTTGCCATCTATTCGAACGGTCGTGGCATTCAGGAGCAACCTGACTTGTTTCAGGCGGCGTGGAGCATTCTGTTCACAGTTCGTTGCAATGCAAACAGCTTATGCGTCAATACACTCAGCACATGTTCTGACCGTCCATTTATCTGTAAACAAAACTATACGCAACACTTCAAACAACAGCAGTTTCGGCCATGGCTAGTGTCACTGACTTTTTCTGTTTTGCTTTCCTGTATCACAGGACGCATGGCTGGAACTGCCGAAAGGCCTTTTGCGTTTCCAAACTCACCATTCATGATCCTACAGCGATTTTCGGGTGCCTCAATTGCTGAATTGCATAACCAGATCCACACACAAACTCAAATTACCTGTTTGTCTATCGATCTGTCTATGAAACCGAACCGGACCTAGTTTATTCAATCTAGCTTTCCGACATACATTCACCGTACGTCTGCAGATCCTAATCTCCAAAACTGAAGCACCAACCCATGCAGCCTGAGGCATTGCTGAGCTCAAGGCGCAAAGCGGTCTGCCAGGGACTTGTCTTGGTTGGTTTCTTCCTTCCTATCAGAGACACAACGGACAGGGCTTAGCTTGTTCGTTGCATCTGCGGGTCTCTTTCAGTTCTAAGTGGAGTCGAAGAAGATGACTCCGCTTTCAGAGACTTTCGAGCTTGTCTCGGCGTGCGACAGGAGGGACAGCCCACAAAGTCGATATGGGCCTTCCCAACTTGAAGCATGATCGTGCTAGGTGAGTAGTGAGATGTATAAGAACGTGGAAAGCTCTCTACCACAGGCCGCTGGCAACTCAAATGAATGCTTGGCCGAAACCCTAAAGCCATCTAAATCCATTTCCCGTGCCTTTTTCTGCCATAACCGAGAATCTGAACCCGAACTTAAAATCTATAAGGAAGCTAGCAAAAAAGTAGGTTGTGGTAGGTTAAGTTAAGGTATGCCTTTGAGCCCCGACCTCTAAATTCTGCGATGACCTGACCTTTTCCTCGTGAAAAATAAAAGAGCTCCTGGACTGGCGCAGATCCGAATTCGCAGCGTCTTCGTCGGTAAACTTCACCTCTTTTCTGCGTAAGCCGTGGCGATCCTGCTAGGGTTTATGGTTCAGGGAGAGTCAGGCTCAGGAGAAGTTGAGAGATGCAACCTGCAGAGGTTTGTCTTGTGAAATTGGGGTACACAGTGGTGCTGAAAAGCCGAAGACCTCCGTCGCAGTTCATGCATCTTCTGTCCTGGTCTTCGGGAGGCGTCTCTGCTGCTGTCGAAGCCGAGTCGGTGTGAGAGGGTGAGGCACTGAGAGGCCTTGGAGGCCTGTGCAGTTTGAGAAAATCGAGGCTCCCTGGTGCAGTGCAACAGGGGTAAAAGGCTAGGGTTTACGCTCTCACAACTGGACATGCCAGGCTAGGGTTTAGGGCTAAACGGAAACAAGTAGCCGGCAGCAAGCCAACCCTCATGCCTATACCTGATCTACCGCTTCGCTTCAGGAGCAGCCGAGCGACTGTGATAGCGCTGGTGGTGTGAAAAGGCGGGGCATGAATGTGTCAATCAGCCGGCGGAGAGAATAAGAAGTCTCCTTGGCCGGACGGGAGCTGGGACGTGGATCCATCAACCAACCTGAAACCCTTTTTGTAATCTGGAAATTGCTTCATTAAACAAGATTTTAGACCTTGAACCGATACGCTCAAACACTGAAACAAACATGAAGCACTACTTCCTGCAAAGAGGGCTACTGTGCATGATTCGGTCTGGCCACAATGCCTTCACTCCCAATCAATGTAACAATGTGAGGCTTAGGTCTTTTTCCCCTCTCGCATTGTTGAGGACTACGTATGCTCACGGTCTGCTTTGGAGTAGATCAGGGTGTAGGGTTTAGGGCAATCATGGTAATCCGGGCCCATCGTGTAATTGGTTCGCCCCGAATCCCGATTACCAGGGCCTTTATGCGCACATGCCCAGGATGCTTTCATGTAAAGCCCACAGAGCATAGCAAGCTTGATCCTGAAACCCGGAATATCCTTATTCAAACCTCAAAACAGCCGAGCCTCTTTCTTTCTGGTGGTCTCGTTTCGCAAATTGAATCGCGCGTTCAAACAACACATATGGAATCACGATTGAGCTGCAAGCGGCGGCGGAAGCATCCAAGGGATCCCAAAGAGGAGACAAGTAGTCCAGTGTCACTTCTTGCTGAACGGGTGGTGTGTCTTGCGGTCGCTTCGGGGCCGATCTCCCATGCAAGGCAAATACGATAGATCGACAACTGAAACGGGCCGAAGGTTATATTCAGTAAAAAAAAGCAAGCTTGAGGTCTGTTTGCAGTATCTCTAGACTCTACACGTTTCCTAGCTGCAGATACATGCGTCGATATCGTACTTGTTGTGATGCCTCGAAACTGTCTACACCGACTTAGGCGTGTCGACAACGCAAACCGGCAACCCCAGCCGGCTGCCCTGTATCCAGGTCTAGAGTCAGAGATTCTCTGCAATCCAAAAACATGATTGAAGCATTCCTGATATCTTCCCCCAGCCCCCTTGTGAGCCCTTGACTACCCGCCAAATATCCCCTCTGAGCCCTATAAGCCTCCTGGTGCAGTCGCATCGCGTCTGTGCAGGTTGCACGAGTGGTGCGGCGGAGGGCTCCGTGTCGGCCATGGCTGAGGGGGTCTGGGCCGGGGCTACAGCGACGTGACCGGGGCCTTGAAGCCAGAATCAGAAGCAGCGAAGCTTGTAGCATGTTGAGCAGGTATCTTGTTTATAGTATAGCCTGGTACCAGTGCTATAGTCTGGTATAGTATAGTACTGCATAGTATAGCGAAATCAAAGATTGTGACTGCTACTCGTGTAGCTGCAAGTCCTTCTATCACCGCCACTCAGCTGTGCAGCCGTTGCACCCCTGCTAGACAGATGTAATAGTAAGTCGGAGTCCCGTGTGATGGCACAGATTCACGGCTCAACCTGCGCTGAACCGAAGTAAATGCCTTGAACTCTGGCCGCCCCATGCTGCCGGGTTTGGTCCTTGTGTCGCGCCTGCTCCTGCATTCTGCGCACCTGCCAGGGAAATCAAATCCCAACTGCTGTGCACAATTCTATGGATGTTCTGCGGTCTTTGGTTGGCTTTCATAACTTCGTCTCCACAAACGTCACCTTCTAGCTCTGCAGACTTTAGAGACTCTGCTTATCTTCTACGCCTTGAAGCAAGGCCATGGGGACTGACTAGCGGCCATGCTGTGCAAAGCACAAAGAAAATTCGGAGGCAGAGCAATGTAGCAAACCTTTTGCAGAATGGCCCGCAGCTGCCATTCGGTCGATAAGCCTGCGATTCGAGGCGTGAAATCGGCAATCGGCTTTGCCTCCGCCACGAATTAGTTGCTGAGTGTGCCACAGCCACCAGGGCTCAACAGATTTCTAGTGATTGCTATAACAGAACAAGGATCTTCTGACGGTCCTGCAGGTCAGGCGAGGCGGCAAGCATATCCCACCCAGCCCCAGCTACCTCCTGCAGTTGCAGTCCTCGAAGCGAGCAGTCAGCAAACGGGTGCCATCCTCACAAAGATCGCACCAGCTTGTTCTAACCAACTTCTTCGAGTCCCTCTTTCTTATGGCATTTGCAAAGTGTGGGATCTTTGGAAAGAGCCCTGCGCAGCCATCTCTGATTTCGACAAACCTCTCATCAGAATTCAGTTTTGCACGATTGGTAAAGCAGACTTGCCAGGATACCGGGAAAGCCATACAGGAGCCCATTCCGACGATTTGGCGACCCCAAACATACTTAACCCAGTAAAGTAACTGGTCACGAGTACACATGAGCTCTCGAGTAGGCCACAAGTCTGCAACAGTGTCTATATCGTTAATATTGCAATGAAACTTCGCACGGCTGTTCAACAGTGTTGTTGAAGCAGTACCAGTGCTATTATGAGTGTGATTGTTAGTACCAAGAATGAGATGAAGAAGCCCTAAGTGTCTCGCCAAACGAATCAATTGTGCTGTTCGTGCCTGGATCCGGGTGCCAAACCCTCACCCCGGTGACGGTTTCTCTCAATACTGCACTAATGCCACACATCCCCTTGTCTTGAAAGGCCTGTGACCTTCAACGCTAAATTCCACTTTCTGGCTCTTGCGGGTTTAGTGACTTCGACCTTCGCTCAGCACCTGAAGGCAACCTCAATAGCAATCCCATGAAACTCATCGCAACTTCGCTGGAGTAGACAGGGCGGTGCTAGAAGCTACCTCTGCATTGAGACCTAGAGTCGGGGCAAGCAATTCAACAGCAAATACCGAAACAGTAAACCCAAAACATGCCAAACCCGCGCGGAACCATACTCCATTATATACAATATACTACATTATTACATTCAGACATTACTTTCTTATTACATTATTCATTCCTTTATTACATTACATGGAGATCCCGAGTTTCCCCCGCAAGGGTATCCGCCTGGCAGTCAGCTCCGACTCCTGCTCCGCCGCCGCTTCGAATCGCTTCGACCTCGGATTAACCCATGTTTTTGGTTTATGGGTTTAGGGTTTTGGGGTTTAGGGTTTCAGCACTCACAACTAGGACAAGGGTTTAAGGGTTTGGGGTTTTAGGGGTCAGGGTTTAGGGTTTAAGGAACCAGGAGTTTACGCTCTCACGACTCGGACATGCCAGGCGAGGTTCTTGGTGCGAAGTCGGCGTGAAACAGGAATCAGGAACCACTCGTAGCCAGAACCCGGCCCAAGACCAAGAATCTGAAACCCTTACCATAACAAGACCAGTCAGAGGTTCCCTACAACTACGACGGCGGCAGAGGCAAGATCAGCACAAAAGGAAACCTAGGAGTTTAGGGTTTAGGGTTTAGGTGCTTCGGGACTTTAAAAGTTTGAGGGTTTGAGGAAGATCCTAAAAGTGCTCCGGATGCAAAGGGATCTGAAGGGCACTGCGAACAACAAATGCATTCTGACTGCAGGCACTGCCGCTGTGAGTTCTGCATGCTTGTGGCTGCTGTGCTAAGCTGTATTATATCATATTCCCTATGTATCAGTTATCTAGTTCTAGGTTATATACCCATATATTTATGTCTATGTTTGTATGTGTATATACACATATACTATGATGTATACTATTATCTTGTTCTTGTTCTTATACACCGTTTTGTCCCTAGTGTTGTCAGTCTTATCCTTCTTCGTTTTGTCTTTTACAACTATAACTATAGACTATGACTACTACTTTTTTATTATTACAAATACCACTACTACGACTACTACGCTTCACATATACACCTATAAACAACACATATATTTATACAGATACATGTGCACATATTCATTCTATCATATATTTCTTGTGTTGCAGCGAGTTCAGGATCATCGGAAATCTTTGTGTCCCTTATTTGACTGCAGGGTTCAGGGTTTCAGCACTCACACTCGGACAAGGATTTTCGGGCTTTAGGTGCTTTTGACACTCACGCTCGGACAAAGTCAGGCCAGTCTGCACACAGGGTTTAGGGTACCCATATCAGACTCAGCTTCCTTGCTGCCTGTTACGTGAGACAGTCTGTGAACATCCCATAACCACTGCGGTTCTTCATGTAATCACTTCCCCCCCATGTATTAAGGACGCCGCTAATAACAAAAACACCATGGGGGGAAACAAGAGCAAAAACAGGAGCAACTGCTGAAGACCTTGGCCTCACAATGAAGCTGCCCAGGCATGCCATCTCTCTGAAGCAGCTATAGGTCCAAGGATCCGAATCAAAACCTGAACCACCCGCACCGCAAATACACGCCAAACGAGCCCGACACTGGGGGGGGGGGGGAAGGCTGACGCTGGGCTTAATGTGAATGGCGTCCAGTGAGGCCCGCACGCCGACGAGACCGGGAGCGACGTGGGCGGCGATCACGATCACGCCTCCGTTATCCAGTGGAGAGTTTGCGCAAAGTGTCCAGAAAGTATGTATGTTTGTACGTATTTCTGTATGTATGTATG